CGGCCGCCGCTGCGCGTGCGCGCACCCCCTCCCCGGCGGAGGGATTAGCGTCCGCGCTCCAGAGTCCCGAGGGGATTGGGGGGGCGGGGCCTGCTGCGTTTTGAAGAAGCGGCCCAGGAGGGGCTCCCAAGTCTTGAGCGGCCGGGGAGTGAGACGGGCCAAGACTAGGGGTCGTCCCGCGAGGCGAGGAGGCCGCTTCAGACTGAGGGGAACAAGGACTTTGTGTCTCCCGCAGGGCGCCAGGAGGGGGCAGCTCCTTGCACCAACCGGGAGCGTGGGGGTAGGGGAGCTGCAGAGCTCCTCTGGCGGTGGCCTGCCTCGGCCCTGCCCCGGGATGGAGTCTGTGGCCACATGTGGCGGGTGGGCGAGTGAGCGAACCTCGCGTTTCACGGAGCCTTGACACTGTCATGGGTGCTGGCTGGGGGCTCGGCCAGCTTCCAGCCTGTCCTTGGGGGGGAGGGGACGTCCCTTGCTCTTGAGCAGGGAGGGGAGTGAGGGGCACTGGGGACTTGCAGTCCGAGATTCCCAGTTCACTCTCCTTTTCAGCCTCCTCTTTGCCACTGTGTGACATACAGGCCTTTTTATTGGAAGGTGTTCATCAAGGGGCTAGTGGGACTGCTCGCGAGGAGTGAGTACGGTCTCCCAAAACAGGAGGCTACATGTGACCTCCTTTACAGGGGTTAGAAAACGCAGCTGGAGTCCAGGGTCAGCTCTGACAAAGTACTGGAAAGTTTCTGGTCTGTTGAAGTGGTTCTTTGCAATCTGTTGAAAAGCCAGGTAATACAGGAGCCTGGGCAGGAGGGACCTATGGTCTGACCCCGTCAATGGTAGTTCTTACGTTCTAGCACAGTGGTTTTCAACCTTTTTTATTGGAGGACCCCTTTGGAAATTTTGACTGGAGGTACGGACCCCTTTGAATTGTAAGTGCAGCCATTCACTTGCTTTTGATTGATCAATCAGTCACTTTCTGCGGACCCCTTAGACATAGTCTGCAGACCCCCAGGGGTCCGCAGACCACAGGTTGTAAACCACTGCTCTAGCACTGCACACCAACTGCCTCTTGCTACATGCATGTGGAACCCCTTGCTTCAACCAGCCTCCATTTCCTAAGACCAGGCAGCTGCTGTACATGTGCACTGTATTTATGGCTCCAGGTAGTGTTTTTATTTTGGATTTGGAAGTGACCTAGCCCAGGTGTTTCTCACAGTGAATATCTCTGTATCCCACCCCTTCCCCTCCCCCATCAGAATCAGCTGTACCCAGGCTTGGTGAGTTTGGAGAACCAGAGAGAGTGTGTCTGAGTCCTGACAGCTAGAATCACTCTGTGTGTAGATATGGGGAGTGCAGGGAAAACGCTTGGCTGCAAGGAGGAAGTTCATGTTTTTTTATTCTGTCAGACTTAGTATCTGTTTAAAAGCCCATACTTGTAAAAAAAAAAAAAAACGAAGTAGAATGTCTTAGACTGCTATCTTAGGTGTTGAAGGCACCGTAGGGGAAATGATTGTAATGCTCATTTTGCAGCAGTTCAGTTAACAACTCATCTTAATCAGGCCCCCTGTTTGGATCATCTTTTTTTTTGCTTTCGTAACTGATTATTTCAAGTTGAACATTCACATTTAAACTCCTCAATGCAAGAAACTTTCTCAATGAACATCAAACCCTCACTTTACACATTTAGATGGACAAGTATCCAGAATTCATTGGGTTGTTTGTTAGAGTTTTTTAAAGACGTACTCTTATTTTCTTGTATGCAACATGCCCTTGCATACAGTATGCATCCTGTATTTGGAAGGCAGCATGAAGAAAAAGAAATCTTTATAGCAACAACTAGGGAGCCACGCCTGCTGTCAGCCCCATGCACCAGATCAGGCCTGTTAGGTTGGACCCATTGTGTGACAGGGTCAGCCATGGAACAGCCATGCATGACAGTCAGATCCAGTGTTGTGAGGCCATGTCACCTGTGGTGGGGGGAGCTCCCTGTGGGTCTGGAAATTTGACACCAGATCTCCAGACCCACAGAGATCTGTATTTCTCACATAATATGCACCCCAATTGTTTGTTGGGGAAGGCACAGGTTATGCGCAAGTAAATACAGTATTCTGATATTGTCAGGAAAAAATCCTTAATTTTCAGGATCTTGTATTTATTTCAGTTTGAGGTTATTCCGCATATGAAAACAGAAAACTTGCCTTTTCTTCAGTGTGTGGGCATTTGCTTGGGGGTCTTAAGTCACATTTTGCAGATAATACAAGGTTTCATGTCTGCATTTATTGGCTTTTTGGGGTTAATGATTGAAAACCTTAGAGTAAAACAATAGTGTCGTCAGTCCCTCCTCAGTTAGGTTGAGCAGATGAGGCAGTCTTTGAAAATGTCTTGTAAACACTTTTCTCCTCTTGTTAAGTTTTTAGAGTAGCACTGGCATGCACTTAAGATCCATATGTATCCATCTAATGCTCTTAAGTTCTGGGTAGTGTCCAAGTTGGCACTATTTGTAGTGCCAGTAACCATTATACAGTCAAGCTGTTTAGAACTCAAGTGCTAGGTTTTCTGAGCATGTAGAACAGGAGTCTCTCGGGGCTGCAGGCCACACACTCTGCCTGTTTGTACTCATCATCAGTACAGTATTGATCATTTGTGTTATTAGGAGAGTTGAAGAAACAGCTAGTGGAGAAGTTGTAGCTGCTTTCTGAAAGGGAAGAAAAGATTATCAGGAATGTTGTCAAGTGTACAGTACTCATATCTAGGTTGGGTTTTTTTAAGGCGTTTTCAGAATGCAAAACTCTTGATATAGCATACACCGAGTGACTTAATTTACCAAGGGTGCATGCAGTGCTTTCCAGTAGTTAGAGGACATACCCACTTACCCTAATGATCTTTATTAAGCTGTACTTTCCGAACCCTGCTCATCTAGAGTCTTAATGCAGTAGAACAGTTTGTGCTGTTAAAGGGACTGTGCCAACATAAACAACATGTCTTTCTTACCAGTGGTGAAGAACATTTAGATGCTGTGATGATGTAATAGATTTTCTTTAGTTTTCTCTGTGCCTGCATTGTTTTGTGAATATTAAGATTCAGTATTTTTTGTATGTGCAGGCCTTTCATGAGAGCTTTTAATAAGAAAGTATGATTGAGCATAGCAGTATACTGTTTTCAGACAGGTAGTATTTAACTAGGCTTCTCCATCAGACTGTGTTCCTATCTAGTAAAAATTATTAACTTTTTTTGAAGTAATTTAGATAAAATTTAGTTAGCATTTTCAACTTTCTTTACTCAAACTTTGTTTATAGATCAAAGAAAAGAACAAGCAATTTCAGGCAGATTGACAGATATTCTTTTAAAAAAAAAACAGGTAGTGTAAAATAGGGAGTTTAAAACAGAAAGGCCAACTGAGTTAGAACTAACTTGCTTCTATAGGACAGACTTAAAGGAAGGGTGCCTGGCTTTTTTGCTGTTCAGTGCTTTTACTTTGACAACAGTGATAGTTTGGTTTTACTTCTACCTTTGGGACAGTCTTTTCTTATTCTAAGCTCAAATCCTGCTGAAAGGCCTGTACTTGATTAATCTAGTCTTTAATTTTTGTTCTCCCTATTCCTCCTCCTCTCCTAAAAAGCATGGGGGGTACGATACCACCTGCTCCAGCCAGTGCCTCTGAAGAGGAGACAGTTAAGGTAAGAGTGCATTTTTATCCGGGGTGGGGGGGTAGTTTGACAGAAAAATCATAGTATTTCAGGGGGAAAACCTGTTCAAAGTTTTCAGTGGGACAAGTGAATTTATAGAAGCTTTTAAATAGGGCGTCTCTACAGAGTTTGAACTGTGACAGTTTCAGGCTGGTCTGTTTGTAGTAGGTAGTGAATACCTTTTTGCCAAAGACCACTCTTCCCAGTGTACCTCAAGTGGTGTTTTCATCCAGCTACTACACACACTCTGAACAAAAGAGTAGTCCTTCCCATCAGATGTTGTGGATGCTGACGGTTTAGCAAGATTTGAAAAGCAGTTGGACAGATTGTTGGAGGCAAGGTGCATCTAGTAGTTACTAAGCATGAGAGTTACAGGTACAACCTCTAAATCAGCATTTCCTAGACACTAAATGCTGGAGGCTGCAAGTGAGAGAGGAACAGTGGGAAAAACCCTGGTCATAGCTCTGTTCACTCTCCCTTTCCTTCCACTGTGACACAAGATACTTAGGAAGATGAACCTATGGTTCAGCCCACTAAAGGGTAGTTTTAAGAAGAACTGCCCTGAAGAATTCACAGTCTAAGCTACTATGAGATGGTAGAAAAGTATGCAGACATATAGGAAGTATAAGGAAACTGAGACAGTTGGTCAGCATGATAGGAAGTGGCAAAAGCAGCTGAACTGTTAAATGTTTTATACTCATTGCAGTAAAAGATATTTTCAAAGTATAATTTAATAGTGG